TATATATATATAGTTTTCAAGAATACTACATATTGCATATTAGTTATATATCGCCGCATCTGTTTGCGTGGGTGTGTGCACACACTGAGGTTTGGGGTGGCATATATACAATATGGAATGTATCCTCCTTCTTCTGCAAAGAATCAGCGTACAAAATATACACAGGTATTAAATATATACATTACTTACAAGTATCACTTATACATATATATGTTTACTAGATGTAATACACGTATATTATGTGCATTCAAGTCGATGTTTGTACGCTGAGTGTTTGTTGTCTAGCTTTTGGTCTTTTGTTCGTTTTGAAAGGTACACAACAGCAGGTCTAACTTTTGATTTTGTTTTGTTTGTTGAGAGCGGAGGAAACAAAACGGTAGACAGATGGAGTCTGGGAAGATACAGCATAGAGCAGCAGTTACGAAGCAGCACTTTACAAGTGGCTCAGAAGCAAGCAGCAAATAGCGCTACAGAGTATGCACACACAACAGTTTACAGGCAGCCTACAGTGCACCTGAGGTAAATGCAGCGGTTTAGAGGTAGTTAACACGAATACAAACCAACAACACACAGCTGGAAAGATGTTGAAGGGCAGCTTAACAAACTGCGCAACAGGTGGCATTGAACAAAAGGGCTAATAACGGCAAACACACGAATGAGTAAACCGTAGAGCCGAACAAGCAACAAGCCCAACACACAATATGAAAACGGAGGCAACAGACGAAATATGGAAACCTACGGCTGCATAGTAGTAATACGTAGTAGCAGCAGAAAGCGTTGCTAAGAACTTTTGGAGGCCGTCCTGGCAAAAAACTCAATATCCCCTGCATTTAATCTCCAATCTGCGCCTGCGTACTCTATTGAATATATTTGTTCTTTGAGCCGCGTTACCTGAAACAGACGCAAACATGCATCTGTCGAACGAAAAGGTGCAGACCAGAGGTAAGTCCTAGAAGAAAAGGCACTGGGTTGCGAATAAGGGAGTGAAGCGAGCGAGGAAGACGAAGGAACTCCCACTGCTTCAAGCGAGCGAAGCACTGCTATGCAAAAGGAGAGCTGCTAACTTACAGACAAGGCAATAGCACCACCAGCAGAGTCGATGACCCCAGTTAAGAACCTTGGAATTGGCACACATGACGGGGGATTAGCTGTGGCCGGTGTGTGCCGGAGGTCTGCTATTAACAGTCCTAGAGTGGGAATAACGTGACGACTTTCCGGACTTCAACCATATCAAAGAAGAAATGCTCACTAGATTCCGTGGGATTCTGGGAGAAGTAATAACTGCATGCATAGCAAGGGTCAGGTGGCAGAAAAGACCCGTAATGAACGCTGCAGCTTTTTCATTGGTTTTCAGTCAGGGGGAACACCTACCACAAGAAGAGCTAGTGGAAAGTTTCAAGCGTATTGACGTTCTCCTAGCAGTGATGAAATAGGGCGAGAGGAACTACCCAACTCGGCAGGAGGCTGCCCCAGCGCTGAAAACGATGGGAATGCGAGACAGAACACTGGAAGCTGCACGGCTTACTCGGGTGATTATACGGGATATAAAACGGTGAGTACGAGATGCAGCTGACGAAGTAATGAAAGAGCAAACTCAGGGACGAGAGAAGTTGCCTGTTTTGAGTGTAAGGGCAAATGACACAACGCACGGCAGTGTCCATCCCGATGGAGGACCTGGGAAACGTGTAAGAAGTGTGGGAGTACGGGACACTATGCTAGAGATTTCCCTACACCTGGTCGAAAGACGATAGATGCAGGGGGAGGCCACAACAACAGTCAGTACGTACTAGCATATCTGAGCTACTAAATGACAGTCTAGTTGGAGACAAATAGAGTGCATAAAATTAAATAAACGCAAAACGAGTCCACAAAATTAAATAAACGTTTGGGGAACTTTCTCCCCACCTGCGCCTTATAACTGTGCACCGCATGTACACTTAGTCGTGAGGCTTTTTCTTGCTTGCCCCGGCTTATCCAATTAAAAAATTTATAAAGCTGATTGCAGCTTGGACAATGTGGAAATTATTCCGTGTGTTTGTTGGTCGCGGCCTCAAGGGTTGAGTGTCTCCGGTTCGGGGAGTAGTTTTTGTCGCTCTGCTTCCAAGTCGATCCGCTGCACGTGTTCGCTTTTCTCTCCTGATTCTGAGAGTTGGGCTTCTGATGTTTGTTTGCAGAAGAGGCTGTAGAGAGCGGCGAAGGCAAAGAGGGCCCCCAGAACAAGAACTGTTTGAGCCCCCAGAGCATGCAGCGCAGCGTAGTTGTTGAGGAGGAGCGCTCGTGGTATATTTTTCAAGTCATAAAACAATCTTTTGCACAGCATGATGACTAAAGTGAGACTAAGAGGCAACGCCAACAGCGTAAAGATGGAGGCGATAAGGGTGAAGAAAGGAGCAGCAGCAGCGCTGCCTGCCAAGGCACTAATTGCCGTTGCAAACATCAAGATGCCTTCAACAAGAAACATAATTCCTATGGTGTTCATTTTACTCAGTGGATCGTCCGATATCTTCACCCAAAAAATACTTAAGTCGAGAATTGCAACTGCAAAACAAAACAGACTGAACAGCACTGCGCTGTGCTCAAGGGAGAGACCCACTCGCCATGTTCCTAGTGCTCCCATTTTCAAGGTTCTCCCTTCTTTGATATCTGCTGCTTTTTTATCTCTCGCCTCTGCCACCTCTTCAAACCCTAAACCCTCAAACCCCGTGCCTCCCGCAGCAAATACGTTGCCTAGAGAGGCATACACCTTCGTCATGGGAACTGCTGTCAGAATCACGTACAACAAATCAAGGTTCCCCCACACGACCAGCTCGCCCACTGTTGCGTTTGTAGATAGCAGCAGAATTCCAAAGGCCGTCCACAGGTACATAAGCAGCAGCAATCCCAGGAAGGAGGCAAAAATATTCAGCCAAGCCAAGGCGTAAGCCGCTCGCTTTGATCTGCAGCACAAAGCGATGTCTGTCAAGAGACTTATAAGCAAAAACGTAATTGCAAGTGTCAAAAAGCCCGAACGTAGAGCAGTGGCAACAGACAGACTCCGCTTGGAGTAAGCCATCACCGCTGCCTCCGTTAAACTTCTCTTCAGAGGAAATACACCCAAAAACAATACCAAGTTCCAGGCACCCGCAGCAGCCAATAGGAACGAATGGACCCAAGCTGCTGATCCCAGAGAAAGGGAATATTTCCAAGGCGGAGACCGGCCAAACATCTTCAAATGGGAATAGCTGAACCCTTGAAAGTTTTGAGACCCTCGAAACGAAACGCTTGAAACTCTAGATGCTAAACCACTAAAACCCTTGAACCCCCGAGCCCTGAAGCAAAAAATGCTAAAACCGTTGGGGAAGGCGATAAAATTGCAGCTTGCTTGTTCGCTGAAATGCAACAAAGGCGGTGTTGTGCCTTCTTGACAGAGGGGACTGGCTGCGGACAGAAGATATGTGGAGGAGCCTTCAAGTTTCCTTCTTCGCCTCTGCTTAACTTCTTAACTGCCGAAATATGGAAGGCTTTTTTGCTCCTAGAGAATCAAATGGTGCTGCTGTGTAGCTGCTGCCTTAGCTGCTGGAATGCTGAGAGCTACGGAGTGAGGCGGTTCTTGTTGGCTGTTCAGTTGCAGGATAGCGGAAAGTGAACGCATCAACTCGAAGGAATAGGAATTATTCTTTTGTAATCTTTTGAACCTTTTACTTTTACTCTTCAGTCAAGAAGTTTCCCACTAAAAGGCAAAAAACTCGTGGATTTAGCCTTCTAGCCATATCTCAGTCGCCAGCGGTTCTCGAACGTCTTCCTTGTCTGTGTGTCTCGGGTGTAGCTGGCCACATCTTGTCTGCAGAAACCTTATGATTTATTCATTCATGCATTTATGTATCTATGTTTTAAGAGAGTTTTTTACTTTTACTTACTGTCGTAAATCTGGTAAAATGAGTACAGAGCTCGCAGACAGGTGAAACGCTCAGCCGACTTACTGCGAGACCACCAGCATGAGGCATGCACACCAAACTGGAGAAAGGCAAAAGTACCCCAAATAATGCGTAGAAAAAGTTTATTCTTGTGTATAGGATACACATATATAGCTTTAAGCAAGTTTGTCTTTCTTTTCGCACGTTAGTAACTTTTATGTTCTACCCCTTCGCTTGAATACAGCCAGAGGCCGTCGCCTGCTGCTGCCGATTGCATGCCAATGGACACAGAATTGGAGATAACAAAAGGAAATTTACCTGAAATAGGGGAAACGTCCGTGGGATATCCCATCGTACACCTTCGTTTGCCGTGCACTTTCACCGGACGCCGAAGTGACAATGCCGCCAAGTGTAGAAATGCTTGCAAACTGAAGCTAAAAATGACAAAATCGAAGTTAATCTTGGTTTAATAAAAATTTAATCACACTCACCGATACAAGAAACTACCCACCTAGACAAGGGGGCTCCTCTTCTTCTATTATTTTAAAAAAAAATTTGTACTCTAACAACCTTTCTTCGTAATTCTATTGCTACTATTACTGTTGTGCTTATTCGTCTGAATACGCTGCCGGCGTGTGTTTCCTACATCCCCTTCTGTTAGGTAAATGCGTTTGTCTGTTTTCTTTGAGACTATTTTTTAATTTTTCCCTTCATTTTCTGATGGTGTATGTTTATATTCTCCTTGCGATAGTTCCCGTTAATTTGGCCGCCGTTCACGTTGTCCTTTCTTCCGCTTTTAAACATATTACACAATATTCTTGTACTACGCAGTATTATGCATCATGCAGTATGCATTATGATGCGCCGATATGGAGTATGTATTGCATTTGGCATAGAATACATTCTAGAATACAGATATAGATTTTACACCGATCACGTTTGTCATAATATATATATATA